ACAATCAAATCGGTGCTAAAGGAGCAGAATATCTTGCCAATGCTCTACAAATCAACAAAGTAACAACAATACTCGTTCTTCTTCCTCTTCACTTCACCTTATCACTCACATCCTTCTAACATAGGCACTCACCACACTCAAGTTCGCTTGGAATAAAATCGGTGATCAAGGAACTCAATATCTTGCCAATGCTCTAGAAATCAACAAAGTAACAACAATACTTGTTTTTCTTCTCCCTCTTCATTCCACTTCATCATTCACACTCTTTTGACGCAGACACTCACCATACTCGATCTCAGCGTCAATGGAATCGGTGCTAAAGGAGCACAATATCTTGCCAACGCTCTACAAATCAACAAAGTAACAAACATACTTTTCCTTCCTCCTTCTCACTTCACTGAATCATTCACACACTTTTCTCACAGACGCTCACTACACTCGGCCTTGAACACAATGAAATCGGTGATAAAGGAGCAGAATATCTTGCCAATGGTCTAGAAACCATCGAAGTAACGATAATACTTATTCTTCTTCCTCTTCACTTTACTTCATCATTGACATACTTTTCACACAGACACTGACCACACTCCACCTGAAATTCAATGGAATCGGTTATGATGCAAAGGAAGCACTTCGGCAAATATGCGAAAAAAATACAGGACTGAAAATAGCTGTTGGTGACGATGAATATGTACATGAATATGAACCTGTTGATGAAGATGATTACTAACGATAACCACCGTAAACAAGAATGGTTTTACTTTTAATGTTTATAAGATTTTATACTGGATGAACAAATATATGTGATGTTTTGTAGCAATAGGAGTTTTCTTCTTGTTTCTATAGTTAGTATAGACTACAGAGTTGCGACGATTGTTGAAAGTGTACTAAGTAAAGCTTGGTGGGAAGTGGCATTTTGACTAGGATGTTACTTGAACCAATAGTTGGTGGCTGTCTAGTGGCAGTTTCTAATCGGCGAGGAATGAAAGAAAAAGGAAATTTATGAAATAGTTCGCATGGTTTTATCATAGGATTTCCACAAAAAAGCATTTTTCGATTGAGAAACTGATGGTGATCATACCTAAAGGAAGAGATATCCGTTTTTATGTTCACTGGAACTGATATGACATTGTTTCCGTAGTATTCGTTTCATTTGGAGGTACTAATAAATATCATCTGGACAAAGAAATTTCAAAACGTGCACGTCTGCAATATGTTATTGAGAAGTTGTCAGCATATTAGTACCTGTTTATTCGAAATAAAAACTCATGGTATATTTTATGTATGAAAGATTGATTAACTACTAGAATTTCTGAAGATTTTAGAGTCTATACACTTAACCTTTTGTATTCATTTAATTCTCGATAGTAATTGAATTTTTGTATCCTTTCGATATTGACGAGTAGAGTTTTGTACCGCAATATTTTGGAAAGTATACATTAGATTCTGTTAAATGTTCTGGATTTACTGATGACTACTAAATTAATCCATCCATAGATTGTATACCTGAACTTTTGGTTTGAAGTGATGTTACAAGAAAAGTAATATTTTGAGTACAAATCTAGGCAAACGACTAAAATTCTTCATTCATATATGGTAAACATAGGCAAATATAAAGTTCTTTTTTTCTAAGAATGGTTTACTTAAAACTAAAAAGAAGAAGCCGAACATTTAGGAATGACAGCTGTACTCTCTTCATGGTATGCAGCTCTTAGTACTACAATCCAATGAACATGATTTTTATTTTTATCTTAATTAAAACCGAACGTTCAGATTTCCCATGCAAAGAACTTGACTGATATTTTAATACATCATTGATTGTTATAGTACACATAATGAATTATTTTACTTTAGAGTCTTACAAATATCACAGAGCTTCGGTTGTTATAGACTGAGAAGTATATCGATAAACTGATGTGTTCTGGTTATCTTTTAAACGGATAGTACATGAATACTTTAAATAATTCTCAATTCAATAAAAATTTTAGTTTGATCAAAGTTCAACTGAAGAGGAATCAGTCATATATATATTCATGAATATTTGTTTTTAATATGATGCATTTAGAAAGGACTATAAATATTCCGTTACAAGATTGAATGGTGATTTGTTTACTGCACTATCTTGTGTCACGTTGCTTAATTATGATGAAAAATATAAAAGTCAAAGTGCATTCATATGACTTCTTCTTTCAACAAGAATTTTATTATTTTTAATTAAATAGCAAAAAATTAATGCAGTAAGAAGCAAAAGTCGATAGGAACATAACATTTATAAGTATTTGAATACCGTGATAGGTATAAATTCAAGATTGTATTAACAACAACATAATTTAACCTTCTTTTCTTATCCACATATACCTCATGACATTAGTCCCTCATAATGAATCATAATTAGATAGTATTATTTTTAGAATATTCGTAAAATTTCAGTTCAAATAGATATATTGCTATGGTAGACGAAACTATTTTTTAAGAGAACACATTTGTATGCACTGAAATTTTGAATATTTTAGTTTTTACAAAAATTCATGTAGTAAATCAAGTATTAAGTAATATGTTTCGATCTCTAAAACTTATGTGTCTAGAAATATCCTTCTAAGCCGTATTTTCGTGGCAAGGAAAGTACTTAATTTTTTTTGATAAATTCCTATGTTTTCTAAGATTAACTTTACTTTCAGTATGAATATGTTATATATTCTACACAACTTATAAATCCGCAATAATAAATAAATAAATTCATGTAATTGTTTTAAACAAAGTAGCAATTTGATTCAGATTTTCGTGAAAATCTACTATTTATTTGAATTTTATAATAAGAAAAAGAACTGTTAAAGTATGATTATTACAATAATAAGTGTAATCGTGTGTTTAGTTCTTCTTTGGAGCGGAATCGCCATATAGGTGAGCACTAAATTGTGGAGGGTAACGATCACCTTGAACATCAGCTTTTTCACAAGCATCACGAATTTTTTTTACTTCTTCTTTACTTAATTTAACTTGAGCTGCTCCTGCATTTTCTTCTAAGTTTTTTATTTTTGATGTACCAGGTATTGGAATAAAATCATCACCTTGAGCAAGTATCCATGCCAATGTTAATTGACCTGTAGTACAACCTTTTTCTTTAGCCAATGCTGTTAATTGATTAACTAATTCAATATTTTTTGAAAAGTTCTCCTTAGAAAAACGCGGTAACATTTTTCGAAAATCACCTTCTTCTAAATCATCTGGACTTTTAATTTGTCCACCGAGTAGACCACGACCCAAAGGTGAATAACAAACAATAGCTACACCAAGTTCACGGCATGTTTTCAATAAACCAATTTCATCTCGTTCAATATCTAAACTAAATGGTGGATATTCAATTTGTACACAAGCAATTGGATGAACAGCATATGCTCGTCGAAGTGTATCACTTGAACATTCAGATAAACCAAGATATTTAACATTACCAGCATCAACAAGTTCTTTCAATGCACCAACTGTTTCTTCAATTGGAACTGTTTCTTCAATTGGAACTGTTTTATCAATACGATGTGCATAATAAAGATCAACATCATCAAGACCAAGACGTTTTAAAGTTTTTTCATTTGCTTGACGAACATATTCAGCATCACCACGAACAGAAAAGCTTTTCCAATCAGGAGAGACAACATTTGCAAATTTTGTTGCAAGAAATACCTATATGTTAGGAAATATGATTGGAGTTAAAATGAAAGTAATTTCTTTTAAACAGGAAAAAAATTATTGAAACACTTTGTTATTTCAAGTAATAAGTGATCTGTTATAATTTAGAAATTATCATTCGAACTTGCCTAGTCTATGAAAACGTTTTACTAACCTTTTTACGTTGTTCAGGATATTTTTTAAAATATTTTCCTAAAAGATCTTCACTATCTCCATACATATCAGCACTATCAAAAAAAGTACATCCAAGTTCAATTGCTCGATCAAATACTTTGAATCGTTCTTCATCTGATTGAACAGTTCCACGTCCTATTGATAAACCCATAGCTCCAAATCCAAGAGCTGATACTTGTGGACCATTTTTACCCAATTGATGTGTCGGTACTTTTGCCATTTTTTACAATGTAATGTAGAAGAAAAGAAAAATTTTGATGTCTTTCGTTTCGTATGAGAAAGGGAAGAAAAACGTGGTTTATATATATGACGAGCGAGCAAACTGGAGGAGAAAAAACAATAAGCGGTAAGGTAAATGTAGAAACGTTCTAAATTCAGGATTTTGTTCCGTTCTATCTCGTACTTTTATTATGACCTTATAATGTTGACGTCCTATTTTTAGCAATTAAAATGTTCGATTCGTATTGGATTGAATGAGAGTGTCACTAGATAGAATCATAGACAAGGGGGAAAAGCGAAACTCCAGGAGTGCGTACTTCACTCGTACTTCACTCGTACTTTACTCGTACTTCAATCTACTTCACTCGTACGTCACTCGTACTTCAATCTACTTCACTCATACTTCACAAACATGTTGAAGTGGATGAAGTCTCGTTTTTTTCCCTTGGGATAATTCTTCTAAGAGATCTATACCCACGCCCAATCGCCATTTTTGTTTTTCTTTAAATTTTAAATCAACAAAGATTAACAAAAGATGAAGTATTTAACAGTTATTCTTTAAAAGTTTCTAGCGAAAACTACCAAATAAAATTCAATTTTGATGGAAAAAATCCCATAAGACTTTTCTTCGTTCTTTTATTCAATAAAAAGTTCATTCACAAAATTATATCAAATTTTGCAACTCGATGATTTTCAAAATCAGCAACATAAAGATTTCCTTCATCATCAAAAGATAAACCATTGGGACTATTTAATTGATTTGATTGAATTCCTTTTCCATTTCCACCAACAACTATTTCACCTTCTTCTTGTCCTTCACACCAACGCATTACTCGATGATTCTTACTATCTGCCACGTAGATTTGACCTAAATGATCAACAATTACTCCTTCAGGTTGAGATAATTCATTGCGATTTCCTCCAGCCACAATTTTTCCTTCTTTTGCACCTTTTCTCCATTTCATCACACGACAATTGTTATAATCTGATACATAAACAGATTGATGTTCGTCAACAAATATAAAAGTAGGATAATTGAGTTGATTAAGTTGATCTCCGTGCCCATTTCCACCTGCCACTACAATTCCTTCTTTGTCATATTCTCCGAATTTCCATCGTCTCACTTCATCTTTCCACCAATCAGAAACATAAAGAAATCCATGTTTATCTATTGCCAAGCCACGGCAGTCAATATTCTTAATAAGAGTTTCTCGTTTTTGATTCAACCATCGAACTACTCGTCTGTTCCCTGGGTCAGCAATGATGATCGAATGATTTTGTTGATCAACAATTATATCTGTTGGACCATACAATTGATCCATCCGATCTCTTTCCCTGTTTTCACCAGCAACGAATTGTCCTTCTCTTGCATTATGTTTCCATTCAACGATTCGATCATTCCAAAAATCAGCAATGAAAATATTTTTCTTTTTATCAATAAATATTCCAGAAGGACTATTGAGTTGATTTAATTTATGTCCTTTTCCATTTCTACCAGCTACAGTGATAGCATTTTGTTTCCATTTATTGCATTTCGATGCTAGGAAACGATGGAAAAAAAAGATTTTGATGAAAAGAAGAAAATGTGTTTTTCATCATAGAAAAGAGAATACAATTGTTCTGTTATGGAAATGCTATTTCTTAGTGCTGATCATAATTATTCTGTTTTGACAATAATGCTTTCCATTCTGTAGCAGATTTGTTCTGTATTTTATTATTAATTTCTTTTAGACGATTATATGATTTCATATATCATTAGGTAAAATATGGGTGCGTAAGTGAGCTATAAATTTGGAATTTACGTGTGGAGCTTATTTTTTTTTTTGGAACTAAGAAAGATGTCAGTTCTTATTTTTTCTTTTATAACAAAACTTTACCATTCATTGTTGTTGTATGAGAATTAATCGACGTTTTAAGAGTTGTTGGTTCGGCCTTTTTCATGAAATCAGCCCACATTGAAATACTAATGATAGTTATTAAGATAAGAACTGCGATGATAATTGAAAAACAAAAAGCAATTTTTCTATGAAATAAAGATCTGGAATGATAGATATATTTCGAATAAATAAACCAAACACTTACGATTCTGTTTGTGGACGAGAAGATTGTTTAATATTGTTTTTATTCTCTGATTCCGACTAAATATTAAAAAACGTTCATTCATTTAGAATTCTTTAGAAAGTATTGATTGTTCTCTTAATTAACCATCGAATTTGTTGATTTGTGAATCTTTCCTCGAATAATAATGAAGAAAATTAAATCTCTTTCAGAAATATTTTATTTTGAGAATGAATATTTCTTCATAAAGTTTTCCTTAATGTATTTTATCTATTTTTAAAATTTATTTTATGTCGAATTTAATAAAAAAAACAGATCGATTTATTTATCATCAAGAAAAACATATATAATCTACTCTTTTCAACTTTTGCTTTTCACCAATCGATTGTGCTATTATTGAAGTAAAAAACATTAGTAACTCAAAAAATGCACAGTTGAATACTCTGACGTGTTTCGTACCTTTTTTTTAACCTAATACTCTTCAGAGATTGTATATCTATAATTAAAAATAAATAATTCATTAAAGAAAAAAATATTTGATACAGAGAGAAAGAAAAATATAACACCACCATTTTGAAAGCAAAAAAGTAAGGAGAACATCTACATATTCAGAACAACATATAACAAGATTACAAACAGTTCGCGAAAATCAACACATACTGGCTGAAAGAAGAGAAGAAGAAGAAAAAACGAAAGAAAAAGAAAAGGGAGCCCTTAGAATTATGTACTATTAGAGTATAGAACCGGTAACGAGGTAACTGGTTAAGAAAAGGAATGAGGTGTAGTCGAAAAACTTCTACATGAAGGATTCTGGGAAGGTCAAACAATAATAAATCTTTTCTTTATGTATCTCTCATCAATAAAGCAGACACGATATCGGTATTTAATAAGTTCATAAGGGGATTTTTCATTCTACGAGAATATTCAATTTTGTAGCTATGTGTACGAACGTGTTAAAATAAAAAGATAAAGAATGATTCAAAAATTTGGATTACAAAACTCGAATCGTCTCATAATGTGGACGTGATCGCATTTATTTGTGCAATGTGCAACAATGCCTCTCTCCTTTTATATGCAGATAAAAAAGAAAGTACAAAAAAACTTAATTCTATTTTATTGATATTAGTTTCAACAAGTTATGTATAAGATATTGTAAGATTATAAATATCATAGAGAAATTAATTCTTTGATATATCTTCACATTACTATAAAATCATATGAAATTGTATACAGAGTTGCCAAACTTCCTGATTTTTAAACTTTTCCTCTGACAATATTTCTCCTAATTTCTCTTGATTTTCAATTCTTCTCTTCAAATTCCTTCCCATAATGGAAGCCCCTACCATATTAGAAGCCTCCTATGAGATGAGAAATATGTTTGACGTGTTAGAAATCCCTTTGATCTTTTCAAAAATATTTTCACATTTTCAGATTTTCTTGCTAAAACTGCTAAAATTTTTCGAACTTGAGAAAAAACTTCACTGTTTCCAGTCTAGCTGTGCTTAAATCTGAAAATACCGTTAAAACTTTTCTGAAAAACTTATAAAAACCTTGAAAATCTATAGAAATCTTTCGAATCGTTTTGTAGTCACAGTCTATGAAAGGTTTTTTAGAATTAATAGAAGCCACCCTCTATAAGCTTCAGGTGGTGGACCTATTAAAACTCCATGAGGACTTCTAATATATTGAGATCCTGTTAGCTCACGTAAAATTAAAGAATTATGGGATTTCTGATTCTTTACAGTATGTGAACTAAAAGAAGACTAAATAGTAGCACGTTTTAGCTATTTAGAAAATTATCTCAGAGTTAAAATCCAAGGGGTGTGGGTCCGTTGCTTATTTAACCCCTACCCTCAATATTTTTATTAATTTTGTCGAACGAAATACATTTATTTCTATTTTTTTATTTTTCAACAAACGTTTTGCTGAATAATTGAGTTTTCTTCTTATTATTCATCTGCATTCGTTGCGTTTCTCTTAAAATGCAATTGCTTTCATCATGAAATTGGAAAAAAAACAGGAAACAAAAAACTGGCATATAATTCAATTCAAATAATGTACGGCAAAATTTATTGTAACTACCTTTTTTCTAGCTGTCAAAACGTTTCCTACATTCAAAGTTTAATCAAACTCACACAATGTACTAGAATTGATTTCTCTAATGATTATTTTACTAAAAAATAAATTTCCTGATTGCATTGTTTTTTTATAAATGAAATTTGCCTTGGTATTTCAGAGAAAAAAAGAAGACAGCTATGATATTTTTCTGAAAGCATTAATAAAATGAAAAATAAGGTATAATGAATGAGGAGAAAGAGTTAAAATCATTTTCAGTTGAATACATTTTATCAAGTTAAAATTTCACTACCTATGGCCTATGTAAGGGTATTTCTACTACTTTTGTTTGTGTATGTTGCACAAACAATCGAAGTTGATAGAAGATCATTTAAAATGTCTGTAATGAATGGTTGGCGATTTCAATGTGCTAATACAACTTGTTTACCATTTAATACGGTTCGTGTATCAAACATGCGTAACTGTCAAATGACTTGTTTAGCTCAAATTTTTTGTGAAGCAGCTAGTTTTTATACAACAACTTCTAACTGTGATTTATTTGCTTACATATCGAGTCAAATTGGCAGTATGTCACCTGATACGAATACTATCACTATGATCGTCATAGCTGCAACGCGAATACCATCAGGTTAGTACAAAAACAACACATAGAAAAAGCACTTATATGCACACTGAGTAATATGATATGTAATAAATCGTCTGCAGACGCTACATATTGATTTTTTGCGAGATTACTGGTGGAATACATTGATACAATTGCAGTATGAATAATACTATATGATAAAACGTTAGATAATACATTCAAAACTTGAGACATTGTTAGTATATGAAGAAATCTCTGTTTTTTTTGGAAATAGAGCCGACCACGACATCAACCACAACAACTTCATCAACCACTTCATCATCATCGTCAACATCGTCAACTTCATCAACCACCTCATCATCATCATCAACATCGTCAACTACTTCATCATCATCAACATCATCCACGTCAAAAACAACATCAACTACAACCAGTAAGTGATCGATCAGGACGGCATGATTAAAGATGACAATGGCAGATAAATATGATGCCGTCAGTTTTATGTCATGCTCAATTATTCATCTACGTCTATATAATGTCAATTGATCATCTATAATAAATATATACAATGATGCTCAGAATTCATCATCCATCTGGCACATTGTGTTATTTCTTTGATAGCTTGGAATAATATCAAAGAAGTAACATTATTTGCCAGATTTATGGTCAATTTTGAGTGCCATTGTGTGTCAATAAAATCTTTCACACATTATTTTTATTAGGTACAACTGCGGCAACGGCCGTTAACGTTCTTCTGGCTGGTT